AGGCTCATGACGTCAGGGACGTGCTAGCAAGGTTTGCTCCCGCAGGAACAGAGTTTGCGACGGCTCTTAGAGGAATGTGTTGATCCTTGAATGAGCTTGGGTATAGAAGTCTGTCCAAGTACAGAAGCTAATGTTAGGAAGTTTATAAACTATTGAGACTTGGGTTTTATTTGAAAGTAAACTCTTATTAAAGAGAGCTGTATAAAGCAACACAGTTTATGAAGAAACTGCTAAAGTCAATAAGCTCAAAACACAAATTCTCTGAAACGTTAATGAAGTTTTAACCCTTGACAAGAAATGTGCTTGTACCTTTAAATAAATGAAGTTATCAGTAACCTTTAAAAGAAGTCTGCTTGCATCATTGTCTGCTGAAAGCATAAAACAGAAACAATTTATTTACATGCCCAGCAATCATCAATCTATATAAATAAAAATGTAATATTCGTTTGTGGGATTAACATAACTCAAAAACCACTGGATGAATTGACACCAAATTTGGACACAATACACCTATCAGGCCAACAAGTGACCATTACTCATTAAAACACTGAAAAACACAGCAGAAAAGACTTAAAAAGCCAAAAAACAAAAAATATATTACAACGCATGTGCAAATCCACATATATATATACACAAACACACATTTATACACATATACACAAATATATACACACACAAAACACATATACACAGACTGGGCCACAGCGTGGCAGGGGACGGCTAGTTACCAAATAACCTCTGTTACCCTGATTAGGATGTGATCCTAACAGGTCATGATTCATTATCCCCAGGACTCTTCTCTTTCTGGAGCAGATGTAGGTTTAACTTTTTTATGAAATGTTAGGAGGCAGGAGGGCCGATCTGTAACATTACAGATTCTTCCCCCAATGTAACCAACAAGTTCAGATTCAAAATTGAAGCTTTTGGAATATTCTTAGATTTGTTGCAACGTGACCGCATCTCCGTATATGAACCCACACGATCCCTCCGTTCATCTGGAGAGGCCCTGCTCACGATCCCACCTGCGTCGCAAGCGCGTTTGGTGGGGACGAGGGACAGGGCCTTCTCTGTGGTAGCCCCCCGACTCTGGAACTCTCTCCCCAAGGACATCAGACAAGCCCCAACGTTGGCAGTCTTTAGGAAGAGCTTGAATACCTGGCTGTTCCAGTGTGCCTTTCCAGAATAGGAAACTCCCAGCATCGTGTCCCAAACGCACTTTACCAGAGATTTAAGATTGCCTGCACACCGCACCTACCCTAAAATCCTTACATTTCACCTGTCATGTCCAGAACTTTTAATTTATTCATTACATTTGGCCCAGCCCTAGTTTTAAATGTGTCATGATGTATTGTTTTGATGTTTTACTGTTATTGCTTTAATGTTTATTGGTTTGCTTTATGAGTTTTATTGTTGTATTTGTTATGCTGTTGTTTTATTGAGGGCCTTGGCCTTTGTAAGCCGCACCGAGTCCTTCAGGAGATGTTAGCGGGGTACAAATAAAGTTAATAATAATAATAATAATAATAATAATAATAACTCTTTCATAGTAGTTGCCTCACTCAAGAAATAGCTTCAAAGTTCTGCCTTTGTTGACTTCTTTAGCTAAGACAGCCATATAGTTTTGCAATACGAAGATGCCTAAGATGTACAGCATGAACCCATTCATGTACAAAGACTTTAGTTTGGCTGAGATCCAGAAATTCTGTGGGAATGGGGATTAACTCGCTTATATTTAGTGTCACTTTTCATCCCACCTTTCTGTGACCAGCACACAGATTCTAATCAGGATGTCTTGCTTTTTGTTGCTCAGTGCTCTAGACCTTCTTCAATACCAAGGGGTCAACATGGAGGTCTTGGCAAGAGTTGTCCCAGACACCTTTAAGAAGTTTGCAGAATGGAGACAACTGGCAGATAGGCTGAAAATTGAAGGTATGGATGACTAACAAACTCTCAACAGTGTATTTTAAGAAGTTTGTAGGTCAGCAAACTTATAACAAAGGTGAAAGAAGAAAGTGCGAAAGCTTGATTGCAGTTAAACATAAAAAACCCCAAGATTATGGCAACCAGACTGGCAAATAGAGGGAGAAAACATGGAGGCAGTGACAGGCTTTGTATTTCTAGATGCAAACATTACTGCAGATGCAGACTGCAGCCAGAAAATCTTCAGCCTCTTCTTGGGAGGAGAGTAATGACCAGTCTCGATAAAATAGGGAAGAGTAGAGACATCACACTCAAAACGAAGATCCACATAGTTAAAGTAATGGTATTCCCCATAGTAACCTTTGGATGCGAGAGAGAGCTGGACCATAAGGAAGGCTGAGCAAAGGAAGACAGACACTTTTGAACTGTGGTGTTGGAAGAAAATTCTAAGAGTGCAAGATGACCGCAAGAAGATCCAGCCAATCTTTATTCCAGAAAATAATGCCTGACTGCTCACTGGAGGGAAGGATATTAGAGGCAAAGATGAAGTACTTTGGCCATAAAATGAGAAGACAAGAAGGCTTGGAGAAGATAATGATGCTGGGGAAAATGGAAGGAAAAAGGAAGAGGGGTCGACCAAGGGCAAAATGAATTGATGGTATCCTTGAAGTGACTGGCTTGACTCTGAAGGAGCTGGGGGTGGTGATGGCCGACAGGGAGCTCTGGCGTGGGCTGGTCTAAGAGGTCACAAAGAGTCGGAAGCGACTGAACAAATAAACAACAAAAATGTCAGCAGTGAGAAGGGAGAAATTCAGTTTCAGAAAAGAGGCCATGTTCTAGTGGCAAGCAGAACCAAAGACAAAATGGCAGAACCAAAAATACCAGCCTCTTTTAGCATAAGCCCATAATGCTGGCAACTACACCTTAGGGGAGTATTTCACTGTTTTAGAATAGAAGTGTGTATAGTGTTCTTTTATTTATTTTACCTTTATTTCCCGTCCCATTGAAGCACACTGGAAGTGACTTCACTTCACATCCAGATGGCATTATGTCTCATTTTCAAGTATTTGGAAGGCTAATACATGGACAGTCTGGAGGGGTTTTTTGGCTAGTTTTTCAATTTTTTTCCTTTCTTTATTATTAAAAAGCTTTTGTTTTTCAAAAATAAAGCTTTTTAATAAAAGGAGCTTTGAGCTTCAGGAGGCTTTAGGGGCCGTCATATAATTCAGATGCTACTTCACTGGCCATGGAGTGGAAGGAAGGCAGCCAGCAAGACCCATGTCTTATGTAAAATTTATTTAATACTTACCTTATGTACATTGTAAGCATGAGGGCAAATAAACATTTTATAAACCACTCTGAGTGCCTTTGTGGAACAAGGTAAAAATTCTCTAAACAATAACAACAATAGCAGCCTGCCACACCTTTGTTACAGGAAAGGGTGTGTGACCCTCTGGGAAAGAAACCAGATAGCCAGATACAAACCCAGAGCCTCAGTTTCCCAATTCGTGCCGTGGGTCTTTTTTATTTGAGAATTAACTCAAAACAGGAATTCCCTTATATTTGGGATTTCCCTTAACATCTTTCTCTTTTCTTATTTTCTTGGTTTATCTTGCTGTTTTTCTGTTTCCAAGCTCTGTATGAATGGCATGTTTCCAATCAGAGGTTAGAAATAGAAGAAGTGCGACGAGATGAAGCTCTCAAACTGCCAGAGGATCTGGATTATTTTGCCATTAATGCATCGCTATCCCAGGAAGTACGAGAGAAATTGGATTCGCATCGTCCACAGACGGTAATGCACTGACTTTCAATAGAGCAGAATGCTTAATGGAGGCTGTGTTTGTGTTTTTTGGTGTGGTCTAAGAGCATTTTGCAATTGCCAAACAAACTGGGGTAGGAATTTACAAACATTGTAATATTTAGAGGAGAGAGGCAACTGTTTCTCTGGGTTGCTCTGAGTTTGCCTAGTTTCCAACTGACCTCTCAACCTCTGAGGATGCTTGCCATAGATGTGGGCGAAACGTCGGGTACATGAACAAAAAATGGCATAACTCCTTGTGCTAGGGTTTCTCAACCTTGTTACAAGGGGTTCCACAAGAGATTGTGATTGAAAGAAAATACCTTGAGAAAGGCTCACTTAAGCAATTATCTTGGTTAAGAGAAGTTTGTGATTAGAGCCTGAGGGCCCTTCCACACAGCCATATAACTCAGAATATCAGGGCACATCCCACAATATCTGCTTAGAACTGGGTTATCTGAGTTCACACTGCCATATATGCCAATTCAAAGCAGATATTGTGGGTTATCTACCTTAATATTCTGGATTATATGGCTGTGTGGAAAGGCCAAGAAACTGAGCCACAACTCAAGATAGTCTTGATTCTTGTGAACTGGCTGAGTAGATTTCAGTTGAGCCCCACCTGGAATATAGAGACAGACATACTCCATGGCCTTGTAAGGAAGGAAGGAATAGAGCACTTAGACAAATACTGAGAGATCAGCAATAATGGACCATGTATTAAACATGTTCAAACATGATCTGACACACCTGAATATAATTTACTGCTCCCATTTAAATACAGGGTGGCAGTTGGGATCCAAAAGGGAAAAAAAAGAAGTTATGTGGGGAAAAATACTACTGATGACAATAGTATTAAAGGTGTCAGCATGTGCATTTGACCTTTTCTTTTTATGGTGGTTTGGAAGCCAAATGAACACATCCATATTTGGTTCTTTTGGAAATGCAAAGATTAATGTAACTTTCAGGTAGGATTGCTGGGGTATGGTGATTCTTTGTTTATAGCTTTTAACCTATACATCTTTGTTCTGGAATGACATGCAAGAATGACTGGAAACTTTTATCACTTGTACTTAACTCCATGTCTGAGGAGAGTGGTGAAAGTCATGAAAATAAGACTGATTTCTCACCTTCATATTTACTTTTCCTAGATTGGTGCTGTGAGCCGCATCCCCGGAATCACTCCAGCTGCTGTGCTTAACCTACTAAGATTTGTGAAAACCAATTGCAAAAGAACTGCCAGACCTTTTTCAGATGCACAGCCAACGGGACAAAGAAAGCTCCAGGCTGCTGATGGGAACAGGGCTTTTTGACAAAAAGCCATTTAACACATTTTTTTGTGTTTTTGGAACCTGTGGTTTCCACACAATATATGTATTTATGTGTGTAATTGCTATCTAATAAATCTAGAAACAAATATCATAGTAAGATGCATCTTGTGTAATCACAGACACACATAAAGTGTGGCAGTCCTAGCTTCTGCCAACCTAGCACTTTGAAAACATGCAAATGTGAGTAGATCAATAGGTACTGCTTCTATGGGAAGGTAACAGCACTCCATGCAGTAATGCTGGCCACATGACCTTGGAGGTGACTATGGACAACACTGGCTCTTTGGCTTAGAAATGGAGATGAGCACCAACCCCGTCGGACACGACTAGACTTAATGTCAGGAGAAGTCTTTACCTTTACCTGTGTCACACTGATGAATCTTTTACATGAAAAAGCAGTAGGATAATCTAGGATTCTTGACAAGTATTTACCAAGCGGGAATTTCTTGGTGTTAACTGAATTTGGAGCTTGCCTTCTGAACTTTTTGCTAAGTCATTCATTAACATTTATTAACAACTCTGTGTTACCCCACTATTCATTTTTTTCTTTGTTCTTCTCCTTGGTGAACATAATTCATATTTGGCCCATTGGCACACTATAAATCCATCAAACAATTTTACCAATTTGTGTGCAATATAGAATCATAGAGTTGGAAGAGACCTCGTGGGCCATTTTTTTTGGAGCAGGCAGGTATTCCTGAGAAACTTGTTTCCCTATTTTGGGTTCGATTTCCCCTAATCCTTTGTTCATTCCATGTTGCTGAGGTTGAGAATGGCTTTTTTTTTGTGAGAAGACTGAGGTATAGAAGGCATTAAGTAGTTCTGCCTTTTCCCTATCCCGTCAGCATTACCCCAGCTTCTCGCAGAGGCCCTATCATCTCCTTGTTCTTGCTTTTCCTACCGACGTAAGCAAAGAAGCCCTTTTCATTGTTTTTATTGTCCCTGGCAAGCCTGAGCTCATTTTTGTGCTTTTGCCTTGTGAACCTTTTCTCTACAGGAGTTGGTTATTCGTTTGAATTCTTCTTTGGAGATTTCTCCCCTTTTCCACTTATTATGCATGTCTCTAGTCTTAGCCCAGTTAGAAGTTCTTTGGACATCCATTCTGCTTCTTTGCACTTGTCTTATTTTTTCTCTTTGTTGGCACTGTTTGCAATTTCACCTTGAGTATTACACTCTTGAAAAACTCCCATTCATCCTTAACTCCCTTGTGGGGTTGACTTGTCTTAGTTTCGGCCTTCCCTAATATTGCAAACTGCAGGAGCATGTGGTCACTTTCCCCTAAGGATCTGACCACTTCAACTGCATTGATCAGGTCCTCCGCATTTGTTGGAATGAGATCGGGAGTAGCCAATCCCCTTGTTGCCTCTTCTACCTTCTGGACCATAAAATTGTCTGCAATGCAAGCAAGGAATTTGTTGGACTTTGTACTCTTGGCTGAGTTTGTTTTCCAGTAAATATTGAGATAGTTGAAATCGCTCATGACTATTATATCTCTTCTTTGTGCCTGTTTGGTCAACTGTTGACAGAAGGCTTTGTCGAGTTCGTCATCCTGGCTCAGAGGACTGTAGTAGATACCCACAAAGAGATCTTTTTGAGTCTCAGTTCCCTTGATTCTTATCCAGATACTTTCAAAATGGTTTCCCGGATTGCAGTCATGCATGCATCATATATATCATGTGAGATCTCACCAAAAGCCAAACTAAAATCATAATATATACTACATCCAGTTTTCTCCTAGTCTGTCATGCTCATAACAATCCGAGAGAGAATGTGTTTAGATTATTCTGCAAAACGTCCATACTGCCTTTAAATAATCACACTATTCTTTTCTAAGTGTTCACAAACTGTTTAACAATCAGTTCAATGTGAGCCAGTCAGTCAGTAGCAACCCCCTTGACTGCAGGCTACACTGGATGGAAAATAATTTAATTGCCATTCATGCTGTCTTGTGGTCCCTTATCTATCAGAGTTTGTTGCTATTATAAGCATTCATAGGCCAATATTGGATGAAGATGTTAAGCGTGTCCAATCTATGTCAGACCACATCTTAGGCATGGCAGAATTTCATTCTATATCCTTAAGAATGGGTGTGGGGTGGGATAGAAAAGAGCATAGCAAGGAGAATAGCTTTATAGATGCTTTTTCATGACAGTGCTCACTTTCTAAAGGACGAATTTCTAAACAGATCTTGGCCCAGACACAGGCTTGGTATCTGAAGGAGATGGGGTGTGGCACAAATAAAGCATTATTATTATTATTAAACGTTTAACAGCATCCCTTATAATGAACTGATTTGTATCAGCGGAGCACCTGAAATTGAGCATATTGCACGGATTATTTGATTGTAAATTGTATCCGAAGGTGAGAGACTTCTACCTTGATCCATATATCAAATGCACAATGTATTGTGAATCTCATATCCGAGATTGGCCAAGACCCAAACATAATATATAAAACAGCTCTGTATTTAAGTAAAACAATACATTTGAAAACTTCATATGTGGGGCTGATCAGGGTAAACTGTAGGGGTGATAAAGAAAAATGATGTATATACTCAGTTTTATGTTTATTTACTGTATTGTTATAAGTCTTATTTTAACATACTACATTGAGTATAATCCTTTGAGGCTGATTACATGTCAGTCCTTCAGATAGTGAAGGAGAGCTATCATGTCACCTCTTAAAGAGTTCCTTTTTCCAAGTTAAACGTTATCTCCCTAAAGTGTTCCACATAAGGCTTCGTTTCCAGACCTTTGATCATCTTACTTGCCCTGTTCTGCTCATGTTCCAGATTATTTAGTTTTTTATTATTAAAGTCTTTATACCCCACCCTACATCAAGAGATCTCAGGGTAGCATAGCATTAAAACAGGTTAAAATAGCAAGATACCATAAATAAGCTGAAAACATGTTAAGCCACACAATTTATTAAAACAGATCATTAAAGTTTTAGAAGCTTTAAAAACTTCTATTTTTTTAAAAAAACCACTCTAAAGTTTAAATGTCTTCAATTTTTTATTTAGTTTTTTCTTTCAATATTATAAATTGTTTTTATTGGGAGATGGGAAAATAGGGGGAGCTATAAATAAAGTATTATTCTTATTATTAGCTGCTTCGTCTCCACCTATGCAGTGATCCACCTTTGCTCCATGTGAGGATAGCATATTTATTGGTCAGTTCTTCCAGACTGAGCATGATTCACACGTGCAGTAAATGCTGATTATGTGGCCCATTTTGAATATACTCCACAAGATGGCGCTGCAAAAATGCATGTGGTTTCAAGGGGTTGGGCAGGACTATTCTTACAGCTAAAGGATGGCTGAATCCTGGCTACTCTCTTTCAGTAGGTGCTATAATTCAGTTCTTGTGCAGTACTTTCCGAATCCAGTGTACCAAGGACTGGCATGTGCTGCTCACTGGGAAGTTCTCTCCCTCTCTCTTTGCTTTTCTCTTATGGAAACTTGCCAGGGGTCATCAATATTTAAGAGAACAGCATTAGTTCAGGTACTACCACTTAGAGAAGCACAGCCACCACAGATGATATCCAGTATATGTTGTCTCAAACATTTCCCTTTAATTTACACTCCATACTCACTTCCCCTCTTTTCCTGTTTCCTTCGGGGGTTTTTTTGTTTTTAAGCATAATGTGAATTTATTTTAAGAGCTACACTGTAAACTTGCAAATCAATGGTGCAATTGTGTTTAAATAGCTGTTGAAGTTCCTCTAGGCCAGTGATGGGAACCTTTTGAGCTTGGTGTGTCAAAATTTGCCAAAAACCAGAGCATAACTTGGGTGGGGTGTCAACTTCAAGAGCGAAAAAATCATAATTTTGCAATATGTATAGTTTAAATAAGAAAAATGTATATTCCAGGCTGAGTTATGGAGTGAACAATGCTCAAATGTGCAGATGTTAAATTTGTAGAGCCTTTTACAAATTTAAGGATGGAATTAGATTGGCTCTTATAAGGTGTACTTCTCTGTAGGCGCCGCATGTCATCAAAAATAGCCACGCGTGTCATAGGTTCACCATCATGGCTCTAGGCCATTGATTTCCAACCAACAACTGTTAGGAATTGTGGAAGCTGAGGTCCAAAACACCTGGAGGACCAAAGGTTGGGAACCACTGCTCTAGGAAATAATTATAATCTAATGTACTTTGTACTTTTAGGATAAGAAATCTGGCAAGATTATTCCAGAGTTGTACTGACTCAAGAGCAATCTGAATAGTCAGTTCTGCAAGCGAAGTCCAAACAGCCCTATTGTATCCTCTGTATATGGAGCAGACAGCCATTCAAGAGTTTCTGCCAATTAGTATTCAGCACAGCCTCACAAATTCTAATTTAACATGTTTACAGGCAGCCAGATTGAAAGCTTAGGGATATCTATATTACTCATGAGAAACAACCCTTTGCTGACAAAGTACTCATCTGAGTCTAGGTTCAGAATTGTGTCTATCTTTGAGATTGATATCCGTTAACTATCATGTGAAATTGGTACTTTATGGAAGGAATTTCTTCTAGGTAGCTCCAGAAGAACCAATGTATAGCAGTTTTTGAGTGTTGTACAGGGAATCTGAAGAGTGGACTCACCACCCAATTATGGAAGCCAACTTGCATGCTTACAGTTTTAACCTTAAAGGGATTTTCTCAAAATCGTATTAGAAGCATTTTCCCTCAAAAGGAAAAAAATATTAAATATATTACAAACCACCAGTGCATGTAAAGATCTTTGAAAGAACCGTAAGTACTTGAATGTTGGTATATGACACCTCTTTAGAAGTGATAGTCACATTTCCTTTCAAACTGGACAAACCAAAACTGCCAATTGTGACTCCACTAATAGTCTGAACTTTTCACAAGTCACTACACACCAACTATTTGAAATAACAATCCATGTGGTACATTTTGAAATTCATAATGCTGCTCTACACACTATCCGACCTAGAGAATAAAAAAGCCGGAGGTCAAGTAGTTCTAGACTGAATTTATTGAATATAAACTAAAGTCCAAGTGTTTCGGCTTACAAAATTTAGTATTTTTTCCATTAACTCAACAGTTATGCTATCACATATGCATTGGAAAGCAAAACTAATCTAATAAATTGAATTACCAAATGGTGATGTGATTAGGGTTTAATAAAAGGCAGTATTTAGAACAGGCACTCCCTTACAAGCCACCTTCTCAAAGGCAACACTTTAAAAAAGCCAACTATATTTCTTTATTACCCCAACTTCCATGCCATGTTTGTAACACTTTGGGATCAAAAATTTTGAGGCTCAAGCAGCCTTTGGTTCCATAGTATTTCCAATTTCTACAAATGGTCTACACAAGTCATGAAGTGGGCTCTGAAACATATGGACATAATAGCAGCTGCTTGGCTTTAGGGATATTAGTTTCCTATTTCTCCGACAATCTTCATCCAAGTAGGAAAGAGGACCATCTCAATTAAAGGTTGAGTGAAAAGAAAGTCAACAAGACACAAGAAAAATCCCATTCGCTGCTAAGCACATGAATGTGGCAATCTTTGAAAAGACAACTATTGTATTGCTGTCATGCTACCAATCTGTTCCAATTATAATCTCGGAATTATTTTCAAGTATCTGGTGCAGAATGAAATGGCCAAAGCTCCAAGGAAGTGTAGTTTTACCAGCTAGCCTGTTATACTACCCAAAATTATTCATATCTTTGACTCTCAGTAACTTCAAATTTAAAAATTATTCTTGTATTGAGCCTTTAAATCAAATTTTTCACCAAAAATGCATCCTTTAAGAATACAGCCCAGATCCTTTTAGTCTCTTATTTCATTAGTGAGGAATGTTTAACTTCCCTGTCTTGAATTGTTTTTCCAAGTGTTCAATAGTGACAATAACACTGATTTTGTTTCAGCATTTGAGAAGAAATAGTATCTCAAACTGCCAAAAACAAGACAGACCCTAATACAAAGTTTGAAACCTGAAGCTTTCCATGGCATGTTTTGTGGTTCAAATCATGATTGTAAAGTGTGTGAGTATACACACAGTGCTTGTTAACACTGACATTCATTTACATCAAACTCACAGTAAACACAATTTAAACTTACTCCTACAGCATCCCTGCTTTTAAGTAAGGTCTGAAATGTGATCCCATTTATCTTGTAAGACACTTAGGGAAGTATCTTTTGGCACAGCACTTGGCAGTCTGAATGTTGCCAGTGTTGCCCATGTTATCAATATAATGCACTTTTATATAAGGGATTATGAAGGGTGGGGAACATGCTGTTCTCCTGCTAGTACACATATGATCTATTCTGGAGAAGTTATTTTATATTTTTAACAAGCCTGCCTGAAGATAAAACACTGAATCCCAAGAATAGCTCAACTTCCATAACCTCCATTAGCAGCAATACATTATTCAGGAAACCTGTGTGATCCCCTAATTGTTAATCCAAAGAAGTGAAGCACTACTACTTTATGCCATACCCTATGAAAAGCAAAACACCTGCAAATTGTGATAAACCAGACTAAAAACAATACGTTAGTGAAAGAGTAAAACCTTCAAAAGTACATAAACTAGTAGCTTGAAAAGTGGTTAACTAAAGGGTTTTCTTCTTTAAATCTGTATTTCAGTAGTCACTGTTTAAGCATATGATGTGCTATTTTGTATTAGACCAAGCTGTCTTCTTGACCACTGAACAATTCCGTCAGCTCGATTTTTGTCATTAATAACTTCTATGCTGTAATACCTTTGGAAACATCAGCACATTAACATGAATAATGTATCTCCCCCACAGCTTTTGCATACACAGAATTTATTAATCTCAAACTATTTGGCCCAAAGAACACACAGACTTTGCATTAAACTTTTGTTTTAATGGTCTCAAAATTTGTGACAGATTTTGGTCAAGTTGTTTCCATTTAAAAAAGTTTACTGATTTTAAAAACTAATAACTTAAACTGCCACGAAACAAATGGTCCACAAACATTCCTTTCCTTCTGAAGCTTTTACGATGCATTGTTATCATTAACCAGTCCTTGACTATTAAACTTAAATGGCCAATTGAGACAAACAGTTCTGAGACCATATTTCCACCACTGATTAAGATGGAGGTGGCAGCGGGACAGAAGTTTCATTTAGCCTTCTGCGCCTTCTGGGCAGATTTTGTGACCTTGCCAGCACCAGCCGCTTTCTTGTCAACTGCCTTGATGACACCAACAGCAACGGTTTGCCTCATATCACGTACAGCAAAACGACCTGGAGGTAAACAAAAACAGTGAAGAGTACTTCCAAAAGATTTTAAAAGCCACCCTATTTCTTCTCTTTCTGTACAAGCAAACTTTGATAATCTTCCTATTTAGTGCTGCCATTTACAAGGGAGGCCAACCAGCTTTGTCAGTGAACATGTGATTATTTCAACACTGGATGCCAAAAGGGACAGCCCTAACAACCAATAGAAGACATTTAAATATTTAGGCTTGTAAACCATTTTAGTATATGTGCCATTCATCAATTTTATTTATTGAGTGAAAAGTGACCATGTGTTTATTTCTGTCTTTTAACTGTTACCATGTGTCATATTGGATGTAGGTCTGTAATTAATAGAGTCCTGAATATGCTCATGAGTGTGAATTATTTCAAAATAAAGCATTACCGAAACCTTTTTTAAAAAGTGTGCCAAGGGTACAATTGTCATGTATTTAACACCACAAAGTTTAAAAATCTGGCATTATACTAAATGTCCTTTGACCAGTAGCTGGCCACTTCGGAGAGCCTCTGGTGTTGCTATAAGGTGGTCCTCCATTGTGCATCATAAGATAAAATGGACCAGGCCTCTCCTTTCCTAGTCTCTGCCCTCCCAAGAACATCTTTGCATTTATTAATTCTGCTAGCCCTTTCTGAGGAAAGACATCACAGGACAGTAAGTAATCTTGTTATACAAATGCCCGGCCAGGACAATTTCTCCTAACCTCCAACAGGGAAATGCAGCAAAATAAGGATGGCTATGTGTATAAGCCACATTTTAACAACTATCTGGGCTATCTCAATTTTCAAACATAGTACATGAAATCCATCTCAGCAAGAGAACTACTTACCCAGAGGAGGATAGTCGGAGAAGCTCTCAACGCACATAGGCTTGCCTGGAATCATGTCAACAATGGCAGCATCTCCGGATTTGAGGAATTTGGGGCCATCTTCCAGTTTCTTACCAGAACGACGGTCAATTTTCTCCTTCAGCTCAGCAAATTTGCAGGCAATATGGGCAGTGTGGCAATCGAGCACAGGGGCATAGCCAGCGCTGATCTGGCCTGGGTGGTTCAGGATGATAACCTGCAGAATTGTTAAAGACCATTAAGCGGCATTCTTACCATTTAGGGTGTGCACACATCACTTAAAGAACCTTCTACACACAGCACCTTCATCAAATTACCTGTGCTGTGAACCCAGCAGCTTCCATCGGGGGATCGTTTTTGCTGTCACCTGCGACATTTCCACGACGGACATCTTTAACAGACACATTCTTCACGTTGAAGCCAACGTTGTCACCAGGGAGAGCTTCGCTCAGAGCCTCGTGATGCATTTCCACGGACTTCACTTCAGTAGTCACGTTGACTGGCGCAAAGGTGACCACCATACCTGGCTTCAGGATACCAGTTTCCACACGACCAACGGGCACAGTTCCAATCCCTAATAAAGTAAGGCAACAGCAGAATCAGAATTAGGCAGAGAGGGGAAAGAACTGTCATAAAGTTTCAGACAGGCCATTAAGGACTTAAGATGAAAAACTTTTAAATCTTGTAAGCAGGAAACCAGGAAATGTAGAAACCATGTGCACAATGAAGATGTTTCTTCATAAAGACTCAATGTAAGTTTGTTGTGATACATACCACCAATTTTGTAGACATCCTGAAGTGGCAGACGCAGGGGTTTGTCAGTGGGACGGGTTGGTGGCAAGATAGAATCCAAGGCCTCCAACAGCGTAGTTCCACTGGCACTGCCATCCTTACGGGTCACTTTCCACCCCTTGAACCAGGGCATCTGCAAAGAAACAATGTACTATGTGCATTTTTTTCTTCCAGGAGCACAGAATCACAATTTCTGACAAGAAGTACATGCTGAAAATCCAATCTGTAGTTCAGATTTTAAGTCTTCATTCAGTCTTAATCTGTTATATTACCATTATATCACATCAGTTAAGCAAAGTAAAAAATCTTCATTATTACTTTTATAAATCTCAAGTGTAACAAAATTGGTTTGTCAAATCTTAATCAGTAATCACTTACATTAGAGCTGGGCTCCAACATGTTGTCCCCGTTCCAGCCAGAAATGGGCACGAAAGCAACTGTATCGGGGTTGTAGCCAATTTTCTTGATGTATGTGCTGACTTCTTTGACAATTTCCTCATATCTCTTCTGGCTGTAAGGTGGCTCAGTAGAATCCATCTTGTTGACACCAACAATAAGCTGTTTCACACCCAGAGTATAGGCCAGAAGGGCATGCTCACGGGTCTGCCCATTCTTAGAGATACCTGCTTCAAATTCACCAACACCAGCAGCAACAATAAGGACAGCACAGTCGGCCTGTAGAGAAAAGACAGTAATAAATTGAATGTATTTTCTCAACACAGGTAAATCTTACTCTAGATTCCCAAAACACCATAATCTGCTTACCTGGGAGGTTCCAGTAATCATGTTCTTGATGAAGTCTCTGTGTCCAGGGGCATCAATGATAGTGACATAGTATTTGCTTGTTTCAAACTTCCAGAGTGAAATGTCAATAGTGATACCACGTTCACGTTCCGCCTTCAGTTTGTCCAACACCCAGGCATACTTGAAGGAGCCTTTGCCCATCTATTTATCGAACAAGAAAAAGGCAATTAGATTAACACATCTTACAGAGAAGTTAACTGTTGCCAGAAAGAACTTGCTCAAGACGTCAAGCATCAAACACACTGAAATGTAATACACACATTACTATATTTAGCACAGTTTGGCAGAGGCAGTGTGAGATTCCAAATCTGTTTTGCTTACTTAACCCAGTGACCCTTAATACAGTGCTGAACTGTTTAATTACTTAACAGCTACTTCAAAGCTTACAGATGTAACAGCCAAATAACTGACAAGATACACGGCACATTCACTGGCTCCTCCATATATTTTCTATGTCCATTTAACTTGTGAATTCTGCTAAGCATCCCATTCTAAACTAATGCCAGAAGATTATTATATTTATGTAGCCCGCCAGGTTTTTAGGACCCCAACTACCAGAAGCCCTAGTCAGGTTGTCCCTTAGTCCAGAATTCTGGCACCTGGAGGACTACAAGACTGACAGATACACAAAACATCTCGTGGTGCATTTTTAAAATTACACATTTTAGATGTTTACCATTTACAATTTACCACAATAAATGAACTCCTTAAATACAAGCAGAAGAGACTTGGGAAATCAAGTATACTGGTTTCATTGTAGTAGAGATTAAATAGTGTAGTTATAATGTAAGATCTGAGAGGCCCCATCTACAATGACCATTTAATGCCATTTTGATTACAGAAATCAGCCTGGGGCCTGGCGATTACCACAAACCACTGACGTGTATAAAGGGCTTCCTTTTGTGTACTTTTCTGAGCGTTTCTTGCCTGGCTACCACAAGCCCCTACTACACTGCTATATAAAATCCATTATCTGCTTTAATAATGATTTATTGCATCACCACCACCCCATTACAGACTCAGGGCAGCTGCTTTGAAATGGATTATATGGCAGTGTAGAAGGGACCACAGTTTGAAGGGAACTGGCAAGGGTAGGTGGGGCCCTAGACTAATTTTCCCTTGAAACCTAGGGAACAGTCCTCTTAAACTACACAGGTTCACATCAATGTAGCCTTACATTCTCATCCTTTTTTATTCCATTTAATTTTTTTACATAAAGCACCAACATTTAAAAATTTTAATATCAGAAAAATTAAAAGAAAAATTATAATTGATCAAAAATCCCTTGTTTTGATGTTAGACTGGAAATTACACCAGGGGTGCCATACCCACCTCAGCAGCTTCCTTCTCAAACTTCTCAATGGTCCTCTTGTCGATCCCACCACATTTGTAGATCAGGTGACCAGTGGTGGTGGACTTGCCAGAGTCGACATGCCCGATGACCACAATGTTGATGTGGGTCTTTTCCTTTCCCATTTTGGCAGATGAATAAGGTGGTTCTCGCCCGCTTCAGATAAAAAACCTTTTGTTTTTTGGGGGGATAAATAAAAAAGCATTTAAAATTAAAATTAAAAGAGATCAGAGCCTGCTAATTAACAATATGCAAAAAGGCAAAATATTTATCTACTGCAGTGGTTCTCAACCTGTGGGTCCTCAGCTGTTTTTGGACTTCAACTCCCAGAAATCTTAACAGATAGTAAACTGGCTGGGATTTCTGGGAGTTGTAGGCCAAAATACCTGGGGACCCACAGGTTGAGAACCATTGCGTTAGAGGAAAGCGCGCGGGCAGATGCTGTTTGAGGTGTAGGCCTGAGCTAGGCCCGAAGCCTGCCTCGAGTTGCTCAACTCCACCCACCGCTCCAAGGTGGCGGCAGTGAGGAGGAGGAGGGGCGTTGCGTCAGCGGGGCGGAAATCCAAGCTCCCCCCACTCTTCCTCACCGAAGTCTTTCGCGTGTCGTCGTGGCCACAAGAGTTTTAAAAGGCCCAGTTAATAAGGGGGTGAGGCAGAGAAAGAGGAAAAACTGAGCGAGGGCGGCTCGAGACTCCCTTTGTGTGCGAAGCCGCGCATGCGCACTCAAGGGCCCGGCTCGCGCTCGCTTCCTCCCTCCTTCTCCCTCCGGCCGGCACGCGCCCCGCCCGCGCGCCCTCCATTTTGTGGCAGCGACAGCCGCCGCCATTTTTTCCCCACAGCGAAGCGAGAGAAGGCAAAAGGCTTCTTCCCAGAGAACGAGAGAGGGGCAGGGCGAGAGGGAGTGCGGCATCAGTGGCTCCCCATGGAAAGGCGCCCCAATTACTCTGTGTAGTGATTACACACACAGAGTAATAGAAAAGAACGCTGAGTTGAATATGCAACAACGAGGGCGTCAGGAACGCAATTACAACGAAGGCCAGCCAATACAACCACACAAAAGGGGAGTGGGGATTGACGAGATGAGGAGCAGAAACAAAGCGTCGCGCTATCCTCAAAACGACAGCATTTCAATCCGAAATTGAGACACGTGTTTGCCAAGCTCGACACGGAAAAGCAAGGCACGCGTTCCCGAAAAAGCTTTCCCCAAGCCCTCATTCCTTCCCAATCCCTCTCACAAGCCCCCATTCCCTCCCGACCCCTCTCACATACACATAACGTGTGTACGCGCTGACACGCGTGTCCCATCCCCTCCCCCCACAAGTCCCCTCCCTTTCAGGCGTCGAACGCCATTGTCCCCGATGGAAACACGTGGGCCCCGCCCGGCCTAGGCCCAAGCCTCCTCCCCTTCCCGCAACACACGTGGCAGCGACTCACCTCCGAAGCAGCGGCAAACCCGTAGCGAAAAAGACCGAAGCGGTGAGCGGCGCCCTTTATATAGCTTGTGCCGAGGGGGCGGGGCTTGTAGGGCAGACGTCACGCCTCCCAGAGTTCCATTCGGCGCTCCGGGCTCCCTCCTCTCCGCCCGGCTCCCTGCCTCGCCCTGGACTACCCCTCCCACCGAGCACTCCCTCCAAGGGAGAGGGGGGAAATTCCCCCTTTGTGACGAAAGCGCGCTCTTTCTCTCCCCCTCCCCTCCCTCCGCCGCCTTGACAATCCTCGCCTGCTGACGTCACGCGCGCCACCCTTCTGCCGCACAAATTTCCTGATAGTTTGTAGACGTTCCCTTTAGAGGCGAAGAATGAGCTGAGTGAGAGCAGTGGGGCTTCAACCACTTTCGCCCTTTGCCTTTCTCTGCCCTCGGCCATGTCCTCTCTCTCTCTCTCTCTCTCCTCCTCCTCCTTTCCCTCCCAGCTTCTAAACATTTTCTCCTCTCGTCCTCTTTAAGGATCCTTCTTCATCCCATCCTGAATCAATTAATTTATTTATCATACTGTATTTGGGGTGTTTAGGATGAAGAGGGATCCTTAAAGGAGAAGATGTGATATTTCAAGCAAGTGGCAGCAACAGTTGAGATCTTCCCATTTCCACCATGGGAGTCATCCTTTTTTGTGCCCCTCACTATACTCATCCATCCAGTCATTTATGCATACATACATATTCATATATGAAACTCATATTTTTGTGCCCCTCACTATACTAATCAATTCATTCACTTTACATATTCATATATGAAAGTCATCTTTTTTTTGTGCCTCACTATACTCATCCATTCATTTATACATAGTCATATATGACATTGCTCAGCATCACACTAAACTTCACTCTTCAATTTTCTGTGTCAAACCCCTTCTCCCAAATTAATTGGGATTCTAGATCTGTTTGACATATAAAGCTGCCCAAAATGGCACTCTCAGTGTTACCTGATGAGATACAAACTTTCACTTAATTGGTGTTCCATGAGATATACTTTTTTCTTCTTTTTAAATTCTCCCTCCTTCCCTTTTTGTGTGTATACACACACAGAGAGATTCTTGCTTATCCAACCTTTGTTCATCCAACGTTCTGTATTATCCAACGTATTCTGCTTCCCATCCGGATCCACAGCTGTTTCAATACATTGCGATGTTTTGGTGCTAAATTCCTAAATACAGTAATTACTACATAACATTACCATATATTGAACTGCTTTTTCTGTGGATTGGTTGTAAAACATGATGTTTTGGCGCTTAATTTGTAAAATTTGACATTTAATAGGATTTCCCTTAATCCCTCCTTATTATCCAACATTTTTGCTTATCCAATGTTCTGCCAGTCTGTTTATGTTGGATAAGTGAGACTCTACTGTATATACACACGCACGTACACATACACACATACTTGCAAAGATATGTTGGATAATGCATTTCTAAAAACTGCAGAGGAAAATCAGCCTGTGTTTTAAATATTAGTAGCTTGGTAGCTGGCATTGTCCGGGTTATTTGAAAAGACTATTTTTAATTGTACAAAATACATAAGGTAGTGGGTAAACTACAACTCACATTATGCCAGGTTAACCCCAAAAGCTCCATCAGTACTTAAAAGTTTGTTATGTTGGGCAAGTTTGTTCTAGGACAGTGGTTCTCAACCTGTGGGTCCCCAGGTGTTGTTTTTTTTTTGGGGGGGGGGGGGGGTTGGTGGCCTACAACTCCCAGAAATCCCAGCCAGTTTACCAGCTGTTAGGATTTCTGGGAGATGAAGGCCAAAACATCTGGGGACCCACAGGTTGAGAACCACTGGTCTAGATGCATCATTGATGGGGTTCAATTCGCTCTCTGGCTGTAGGGTAAACTACAACTCCCACTATGGTGAGTCAGTCCCCTCAAACCCCTCCAGTAGGTTGTGTTAGTCATGGGGCTCTGAGCACCAAGTTTGGTCGAGGTCCCTCATCAGTGGAAGTCACAGTTTCTCTGGTTGTGGGTGATCTACAACTTCCAGAAAGGAATGCCAACTCCCCCAAACCCCTCCAATAATCATATTTCAGCATATCAGGTCTGTGTGCCTAGTTTGGTCCAGATCAATCAATGTTTGGGTTTACAGTGCTGTCTTGATGTAGGTGAACTACAACTCCCCCAAATCAAGGTAAATTTCTCCCAAATACCTCCAGTATTTTTTGCTTGTCATGGGGGCTCTGCGTGCCAAGCTTGGTTTAATTACATCTTTAATGGAGTTTGAAGTGTTTGTTGATAGCAGGTGTACTATACATCCCAGTACCTACAACTCCAAAATGTCAAGGCTAATTCCCCTCAAAACCCACCAGTATTCAAATTTTGACATATCGGGTATGCATGCCAAGTTTGGTCCAGATCCATCGCTGTTTAGGTTCATAGTGCGCTCTGGATGTAGGTGAACTACAACTCCTATAAATTGCTCCAAGTCCAGTATGTTTTGTTGGTCATGGGGGTTCTATGTGCCAAGTTAGTTCCAGGTCCATAGTTGCTGGAGTTCAGAGTGCTCTTAGAGTGCTGGTGAACTATACATCCCAGTACCTACAGCTCCTATAAATAATAGTGAATTCTCCCCAAACCTCTCTGATCAATTCCTCTGCTTCTGTGTGCTAGAGAAAAGAATAGGAAAGGGTTAAGGGAGAGGCAGTGGGTGGGGTCATGCAAATTCCACACTAATGGAAAGAGTCAGAAATACTGGGATGCCTGTGGTGGAGGAAAAACAGAAACTCTAGGGTGAAAATGTACCCACATGAAAGCTTTCACTTGGGTGGTGGGCAGTCTTGTGTTTGTGGAAGACACTGACAGGGCTCTTGGGCATGTTCATGGTGCTCTCTATAACCTTCAATGTCACTGGAGGGAGGGCCATTTGTGTCTCCTGAGCAGTGGGAGCTATAGCTGTTTGTGGAGGCAGGAGCTTGTCTCTGTAAGTGGACACCCTAGCCACATACACACATATATATTATGTGGATAGATAGATAGATAGATAGATAGATAGATAGATAGAGATAGCAAACCTTTGAATGTGATTCCCCCCCCCCCCCCAAATTATACATCTCTCTTAAGGCTGCAACATTTTATTGTCCTGCTCTATTCTCATTCTGTCCATGTGGACATAATGTGGACAAACAGAGAGTGCATCTATATTGTAGAATTAATCTAGTTTGACACCATTTTAACTGCCATAGCTGAACGCTAAGGAAGCATGGAAGTTGTAGTTTGGTGAGGCATCAGCATTCATTGGCAGAGAAGGCGAAAGACCTTGTAAAGCTACAAAACCCATGAATCCATGGCACTGAACGGTATCAAACTGGATTAATTCTACAATGTAGAGGGCCCAGAGTGGTTTCCAGTTGCCAGAAAGGTCAGGCAAAACCACCTTTTATCACTTTTATGCTGAATATATCCTACCTAAAACAGGAGGAAAGAGGAGTGAACACTGAAGGAATATCAACAATTTAAGATATGCAGATGACACTATACCACTATGCAGGGGGGGGGGAAAGACTCGGAAGGGTTATAGAATAAAGTCACGAAGGGAAGTGTAAAGGATTGGGCAGCTTCATAAACTAATAAAAATTATGACTGCAGATTATTTACATAACTTTCAAGTAGACAATCAATACATTAGCCTCTTTTACACTGTCATATAATCTAGATTATCAAAGCAGATGATTCACATTATCTGCTTTAAACTCGATTATATGAATCTACACTGCCATATAATCCAGTTCCAAGTAGATAATGTGGATTTTATATGGTGGTGTAGAAGGGCCCTAGAAGGGGTCTCAATGCAAGTTCCCATGGCCCTGAATTTGCAAAACCTAAGCAGGGCTGTTACTATTTAGGTGACTTTGGGTGCATCTTCTACACTGTAGAATCAATGCAATTTGAAACCAGTAACTGCCATGGCTCAGTGCCTTAGAATCATGAGAACTTCGATACCGTCAACCATGGTATCCTTCTGGGACGCCTCGCGGGGATGGGTCTTGGAGGTACTGTTTTACAGTGGCTCCGCTCATTCCTTGAGGGTCGGTCTCAGAAGGTGTTACTGGGAGACTCCTGTTCAACCCCACAACCTTTGTCTTGTGGGGTTCCTCAGGGTTCAATACTGTCTCCCATGTTGTTTAACATATACATGAAGCCGCTGGGAGAGATCATCCTGAGTTTCGGAGTGCGATGTCATCTGTACGCGGATGATGTCCAACTCTGTCACTCCTTTCCACCTGCTACTAAGGAGGCTGTCGAGGTCCTGAACCGGTGCTTGGCCGCTGTGACGGTCTGGATGGGGGCGAACAAATTGAAATTGAATCCAGACAAGACAGAGGTACTCCTGGTTAGTCGTAAGGCCGAACAGGGTATAGGGTTACAGCCTGTGTTGGATGGGGTCGCACTCCCCCTGAAGACGCAGGTTCGCAGTTTGGGTGTGATCCTGGACTCATCGCTGAGCCTGGAACCTCAGGTTTTGGTGGTGACCAGGGGAGCATTTGCACAGTTAAAACTTGTGCGCCAACTGCGCCCGTACCTTGGGAAGTCTGACTTGGCCACGGTAGTCCACGCTCTGGTTACATCCCGTCTAGACTACTGCAACGCTCTCTACGTGGGGTTGCCTTTGAAGACGGCTCGGAAGCTCCAGCTAGTCCAACGCTCGGCAGCCATGATACTAACAGGAGCGGAGCGCAGGGAGCATACAACTCCTCTGCTGCACCAGCTCCACTGGCTGCCGATTTGCTACCGGGCTCAATTCAAAGTGCTGGCGTTGGCCTTTAAAGCCCTAAACGGTTCTGGCCCAAGTTACCTATCCGAACGTATCTCTGCCTATCAGCCCGCCAGGACCCTAAGATCTTCTGGGGAGGCCCTGCTCTCTATCCCGCCTGCTTCACAGGTGCGGCTGGTGGGGACGAGAGACAGGGCCTTTTCTGTGGTGGCCCCCCGGCTGTGGAACGCCCTTCCTATGGAGGTAAGATCAGCCCCCTCGCCAATGGTGTTCCGAAGAAGATTAAAAACTTGGATGTTTGAACGGGCATTCGGTTAAACAGTGCAATGAATGTGATGAT